CGCTTACTCATGCCAGCAGTGACCTTCAATTCTATCAGAACTGACCGTTAACTTCGGAAGTTTTAATTAAAGCGTACATTGTCTCCAAAGGAGCTAGCATTTTTTTAAACCTAAATGAGTCTTTTAGAACAAGAGTTATGCGAAAAACTTAATTTGAGAAAACCGAAAGCACGGGTACCGACTACTTCAGATTACAATATTTTTCCATCAATATAAAATACAAAGTGACGCGGTAAATTTGTGTGAAAAGTTGCGTGCGGTATACTTCAAATTAAAAGTTTTATAGTTTTTATAGATAAGACCCGAAGATAAGTATTTTAAAAGAAAAATAAAATGAATAAAAGGAGTTTTGAAAATTGCATGAGCAGGGAAAAAAAAATCTTTGAATCCAATGCGAAAAGATTCAAAGAACTTATGGAATCTGATCAAGTAACAGAAAGTGTGGTAAAATTAAAACAAATAGAAAGTGAAATCTGTATAAATGTTACTGATAGTGAAAATTCGGAGCGATTTTCATCCGATGAACATAGCTCCGGTGGTGAAGAAGAAGTTTTAGAGACCCCTGTAGAAAGTGTTGCTGGGGTTAATAAAATTGAAGAAATTAAATCGTGGGCTATTGAATTTAATATTTCTCGAAATGCTCTAGACGGCCTATTGCAAACTTTAAATAGAATCGGAGTAAGTGATTTACCTCTTTCAGCAAAAACTCTTTTGGGGACCAGCAGGCAAAAAACGAATATATCAAAAATTCCAAACGGTGAATTTCTGTACCTAGGAGTACAAAACTATTTTTTTGACAAAACTCTTAATTTTTTACAAAATAAGGAAGAAATTTCGATTGATGTAGGGGTTGACGGTCTTAGGTTATTTAAAAGTTCAAACCGTGTACTGTGGCCGATTCTTGGAGCACTTTCAGATTATCCTACTAAGAGCCCGTTTGTCATTGCTTGCTTCTCTGGGCATGGAAAACCCAAAGACATAAATGACTTCATGCGCGATTTTTGTGCCGAATACAAGGTTCTAAAAGAAAACGGTATTAAAGTAGGCTCCAATCAAGTTTTAAAAGCATTCAATGTTCGGGTTTTCATTTGTGATTCTCCAGCTAGAGCGTTCGTTACCGGTGTTATAGGGCATAATGGAAAAAACGGCTGCCCCAAATGCTGTGAAGAGGGAACATACAAAGAGAGAAGAGTGTGTTTTTCAAACAAGATTGGAGTCCTTAGATCAGACGAGTCCTTTGAATTAAGAACTAATATTTCTCATCACCTTGCACAGTTTAAAGAAAAAAAAAATGTTTTGGAAGAAGCCGGATTCAGGATGGTTTCGCAATTTCCCCTTGATTCTATGCATTTAGTTGACTTAGGCGTAGTTAAAAAATTGATAAGGCTGATCTCCAAAAGAGTAAATGTAAAAGCAATTAATGAAAAACTCAATTACGTATCTCAGTTTGTGCCTTCTGAATTCGGCCGTATACCCAGGAGCTTAGAAGAAGTTTGCAATTGGAAGTCTACGGAATTCAGGCAATTTCTCCTTTATACAGGTATATTTGTTTTGAAAGGTAATATTAGTGATGATTCATACTACCATTTTTTATTGCTTCACAGTGGAATAAGACTTCTTTCAAATGAAAAGTCACTTAATAAAGACACAGTCGTTGCTCAAAAAATTTTAGAAGATTTTGTCAAATTTTTTGGTAACTTATATGGCGACGAACAAGTTAGTTTTAATATTCATGGTCTGCTTCACTTATCTGATTCGGTAAAAAAACTCGGTCCATTAGATTCTTATTCAGCATATAGATTTGAAAATTATATGCAATTTTTAAAAAAAATTATTAAAAGCCCAAGCAACATTCTTCAGCAATTGTCTTTGAGACTTAAAGAAAGGCAGGGGTATGAATCAAGTTGCAATAATTTTGGTTCCTTTACTATCAGTGATAAAAAAGATAAAGATAGTTATTGTTTTTGTGAGAAAATTGGGCCTATTAAGGTTGTGGATGTCATAAAATCAACGGAATCGGATATAATTATTTGTAAAGCTTTTCAAAAAATCGAAAACTATTTTACTGAACCTCTTCATTCATCCACGAGTTTGGGCATAGTTGTAGCAAGTGATTTGGCCATTGAAACAGTTCAAATTGCCTTCAAAGATATAAGATATAAATATTTTTGTATTCCGTTTGGTGGCAAGTTTCTGTTAATACCCCTGCTGCACCATTTGTTTCACGATTTTTTTAACTTTACCACACATTCATAATTAACAAATTACCGATAATTATAGTTTAAGTAATTGCAAAAAACATGAAATTATTGCACATGAATTCTAGCAACTCTATTTTGGACGAGTCCTTCGTTGATGAAACCCAATTAAATGGTAAGTGAAATGCCTTAAAAGTGTACATATGCATATATATATATAATTTAATGATTCTCACTTTTCAGCGAACCAGCCTGCAATTGTCAGAAGATGCTTTGATGAAACAACTTCCGACGAAGTGATGGAGGTTAGGGAGGAAAGCAGAAATGGGCAACAGAGACCCGATAATAAAGGTTTGTTTCTGCTAAAATTATCGCTAAACTTAATACGATATTATCTGCAGAGATTCTGGATGCCTTGGAAGTCATAACCCTACGTTTGGCTACGATCGAAACTAATGTAAGTAATAGCATCTCCGTTTTCATACTTATATCACATCGGCCACAGTGACATTTATCCGATAAATGCCTTTTCTTGCCATAATTTATGTTGTCAATGTTCGATATGTATGCATTTCATTAGCAAGTTGTCCTGCAAAAAAAACCAGGAAATAATTAGCCGCCAAGTCGAAGAACTTGTCGAGAAGGTGAGTTTTTTTTATTACTAATAGCGTTTTCTTTTCTCGAAAAAATGCTGCATTTATTTTTCTTGTTTATTTAATGTTATACCATACTTTTATAAAAAAAAATAAACATTGAATAAACAAAGGAAAAACAGCCGAAACTTATTTAAATATCGCGTTCCTATGTATAAATTCATTTTCCCACCACTGTATATTTTATGTTTTAATTGATAACAAATGTTTCCCAATAGATGGTTAATAAGTCGGAAATGTTGGCAGAAAACAAAATCCTGAGAGAGTGCAAAGTGACTTTGCAAAAGATTGAACTGTCAATTGGACGTATGACTGGCGAGGTACGAGACCAAATTTTAGATGAGGTGGCGAGCAGTTTTCCAATCAATTCAATTACTTCCGTCAGTGATATTGAGGACAAAATTATGAATCGTCCGGAATACGCTCAAGCAATGGTAATGAAGCTTGGTTTCTTTCAAGCTTAAAATTCTCATACCTTCCTTTCGATGCATTTTTCTATAGATAACGTACTTCCACAAATTGAAAGGAGCATCCGAAGACGTCTCTACGGTATTGAAATACATTTTCACTGACGAACTATTACTGAATTTTAATTGGGATGGCAGGTGGGAGAAACAGGCTCTTTGCAAATTAAAATTAGTCGAGATCTGTCTGCGAGGTAAATTGCGTCTACTATTGAAAGTAAATATTTGGTTATTAATATTTTCTTTTTTACTTTATGTAGATGTTTTTAAAACACAGGCATCGTATGACTTTCAAAAGGCGGTGAAAAGGTCAATCGAGCTTAGCCATCACCGATTGAAGCAGAAAAAGTACCAGCTTAATAAATCTAAGAAATAATAGATTAATTTATGTAATTTTAAGTTTACTTTTCCTCGTATTAATAAGTTCCACATTTGAGTAATAATTTATGAAGCGGCCCCCTAAAATGTCACAAAGGTATAAGAATTAATTTTTGCATTCAACACAGATTGTATCCTAATATATTGGGCCCTATCTGCGGTTAAGCCTAGATATGTGTATATGCCAGAAAAATACTTTGCAGAAGTTGAAAATCTGTTTAAAACGTTTTTCTTAATTAAACACTTAGTTAAATATTTTTCGTTAAATATTTCTGTAATTGCAATTGCTGCGAATTGAATTTCATGAAACTTTTGTGAAAATGTAAGCGTCTTGCCTATCTAAAAACTAGATATTAACTATTGAATAAGATTCCAATCGTATCAATAATTTCACGTCATTGCCTAAAATTTCCACTCGACTAGAGTATTAATACGGAAAAACTTGGCAGCACTGCATATTTTTCGACGATTTTCGTCGTTTACTTATTTCGCCACGACAGTAGACAATGCCAATGTTGTCGAGTCGTACAATTTAGCATAATTTACGACTTACGCAATGAGGCTGAATATCTAGTTTATAGAAAAGTAAGACGGCTACATTTTTACAAAGTTTCATGAAATTCGTAAAAAAAGTTTCCCAGCAATTGCAATTACAGAAATATTTAACTAAGTGTTTAATTAAAAAAAACCTTCTAAACCGCCGATAAAACTCAAGCTAACTTTAGATGCTTTAAGAGCATTTATCCATGAAAAAGAAAATGTTGAAAAAACGTTTCTTTGCAGATAGGGCTCGATATGTTTGGATACAAACTGTATAAAATGCAAAAATTAATTCTTATATCCGTCACTTTGTGACATTTTAGGGGGGCCGCTTTATAAATTAGTACTACATTTTTTTCATACAAATTTTCAAAATTTTTTTTATGTAAATGAATTCTGAATATTTTTAATTTTTGGTTCTAATATAATATATAATATAATATTTATATAAACTATAATATGAAAATTTGATTTATATGGTTTATATTATAGAATGAACTATATTTTCATAAATAATCAATGCAAAAAAATTGTTCATGAAAATAATCGTAAATATTTATTAGAAAAAGGCGTACACTTTCATTTGTCGCCTGTTATATATGTGTACATATATAAAATTATATTCCTTTTTTTAAGAATTTATTATTAATAAAACATAATTAAACATGCATAAATTTTAATTTTTATTCATCAAATATGGGTATTTACATCAGAGCTGCCTAGATTTTACATCAGTTCTGACTAATAATCGAGTCAGGTCTGATCGGTCAGCGCTGACGCATAATTCATTCAGAAATTCCAAGTCATACAATCAGCTGATCGGTCAGCGCTGACGCATAATTCATTCTGAACTGACAAGTCCGACAATCAGCTGATCGATCAGCTCTGATGCATAATTCCTTCAGAACTGACAAGTCCGACAATCAGCTGATCGGTCAGTTCTGATAGAATTGAAGGTCACTGCTGGCATGAGTAAGCG